TCTACAGGGGGGTTCCCAAAATTTTGAAACCTACATGGATCAACAGCAAACCACTTGAAAAAGAAAGCTGTAGCATTGTTTATCCAATTCTATCTGCCAAAAGAGGACAAATAGCACCTATATTAAACAAGTTTTTCACTTAAGAGAAGACCATTGTTGAATTAAAAAAAAATAATAATAATAATAAAAAAAATCAATCAACAAGACCACTTCAGAATAACTTAGATTTGGAGCAGGCACTCCCCCCCCCCAAAAAAAAATTAAAACCATTAATAAAATTCAACCAAACTCTAAATAAAATTTAAAGGTTTTTAGTTTCAAGCTATCTTGCAAATGTTAATGAATTAATGCTCCCAATTTGATTAGCATGCAAACAATAAACACTAACAAATGTCAGAATGGTCTTTTAGGCAGAAGGCCACAGCTGCCCAGGGACGGTCTGGGCTTCACCCACTGTTACGTGTGGCACCATCACTCCCAACAGTCTCTATCCTCCAATCCCTCTGCTGTGTCACTGTCAGACTCCTTCTACTTCTCCCACCTCCCTGCAGCTTTGCTTTTGTTATTTTCATAAAAAGTCTATCAAAGTTCAGGGGGAAAAATGGTGGCACATGCGAACTTTAAAATGGGTCTTGTGATTGGGTTAATTTTATAACCATTTAATGATTTCCAGGGAAGTGCTCAGTGGCTCTGGACTGCAGCAGCCCTCCTTCCTGTTGCTCAAGAGCCTTGGGAATGACCTCTGCCCCTCCAGACACAGATCCCGTCTTCACTGGACTGAAAGCACTGGGGATTTTCCATGCTGGGGGACCTGCTCAGCTACAGCAGAGGAAGCCAAGCCACGAGGTAGTCTCCTATGGGCAGGAGAGCTGGCGTGAGCAGGAGATCTCCTGGAAGGGCAGATGAGGTACCCCAGGGAAAAGAGGTGCTGGCAAAAAATGTGGGTCAGATAAGGTAAACTGGCTCGCCCAGGCATAGCACTGAGGCACAGGCATGCACGAGTCACCAGTCCCCACCGCCAACCTGAAAGGAGTCATCAGGAGCTTCAGGTGGACCTTGTTCTTCACCAGCCCCAGGTTGCTCCTGGGCAGCCCAGTGCAGCCTGCCCAGTGCCCACAGCCCCCCCACCAGACAGACCCAGCGCTCAAAGAAGCCCTGCCTTGGCACTGCCAAGCTTTGGTTGTTCTCCATCAACCTTTGCATGTCACATGGTCATCACAGCCTCATCACCCCCACGCAGGATTCCCCATCATTCTTCTGCCCTATGACCAGGCAAACTGGGGACGTACAGGTGACAGGGCTCCTCCACGACCTCAGTCCCAATACCAAGAGATATTTTGGCTGCACTGGAGCTTTTCAAGCCCTTTTATCCCACTGCTGTCACAAAGGAGCATCCTAGCTGCGATACTCAGAACTACTCTACAAAAAAGTACCAGTGGCTTTTAGCATCTCGCTCACAAACCATTCTCACTTTGCAGCTGTGACAGTGCTGCTGGCCATCTCACTCACACTGCCTGTTCACCGACGCGATGGATATGTGAATCTGATTTCTACTAACCCAGCTCCTGCAAACATTATGTAATCTGGACATAAACCAAGACCTGTTTACCAGCCTTCCTGCCAGCACAGTTGTTTTGCTCCCATGGGGTATTTGCAGAGTGACTAGAAAGGGGCCAGTAACACAGGGGCAAAAGCTGGAAAAGCTGCAGGGAAGATATTTTGCTCTAGAGTTATGCTGAAAAGACATAAAGCTTATTAAACACTCTTTTAAACTTCTTGAAGTATTTTGTAGTTGGCAGAAAGACAATCATTTTGTCCATTTTGCAAACAGGACAGCTGAAGCTCAGAGAAAGTGGGCAAATTGACCAAGATCACGTAGGAAACTAACGACAAAAATGAAGTAGGCATCTTAGAGAAAATCTTCCCTGGCTCACAGGTCTGAGGCTCACATGTTCTCTTGGAAGCAGTAATAGATCCTACATCTTCAAACATTCACAGACTGCGAAGCTAAAACAATACAGTGTTATGACCTGACACCCTGCGTGAGGTTGAGGGCTTCCCTTTTGAATCTCCATTTCAGCGTTAGGGTTTGGTTCTGGTTTTAAGATACATCCACCACATTTGATTAGAAAAAAATAAATAGTTTCAGTTTAGTAAGCCATTCCTATGATTAATTAACCTGACTGTTAAAATTATGTTGTGATAATCTGAATCTGCCTGCTTCAACCCTCGGCATCTCCTTACACGCTCCTCCTTTATGCTTTAGCCTGGGCCGCCCTTATCCAAACTCTGCTCGTAATGGATGTGCCTTCAAGGTAGCAATCAAGTTACTCCTTGCCTTTTTATTCTTTGAAAGAAACAGGTTGAGCTCCCACAGCCATTCATCACCTTGCCTGTTTTCTAGTCCTTTACTCATTCTGAGACTTCTCCAATTTGTCAAAGCCATTGCTGAGCTGTTGAAGCCAGACTGGAAGGACATCTCAGTGAAGCCACAACCTCAGCAAAGAGCAGCCTGGTAGATCCTCACTGCTCTTGATCAACTTTCACATGTCCATGCACACAAATATCACATTAACTCTCTTGGCTGCGGGTAGCCAGTCTGGTAGCAGTGTTCAGCTAATTACACATTGTCATCTCAAGCTCTTTTTAGGAATCTGCTTT